GGTCACGGGTCATCCTGGTGCTCGGGTAGGGCAGGCTGTCACACTGGATGCACTGGACACGGCACTCTCTGCTCAGTAGATGTTTTTAAAGGGAAGTTTCTTTGGGATTCTTCGGTCACCACCTACCCAGAGCTCTAAGAGCTCGAAGGAGCTGCTGAACAGAGACCAGCTGGGAAGCTGTGGCCGGGGACAGAAGCCAACTCGACACAGGCAGAGCGTCCGTGCCCTGTGAAGAAGAGCAGGGAGGGGCTGGGTGTTTGCTGAGCCCTGCCTCAGGCACATGGTAAAGGCGGGGCTGAGATCTCAGCGATCAACACAAACCTTGTAACACAAACCTGGAACGAAACGGCGAGTGGTTAAGGCGTTGGGCTTAAGATCCAATGGATTTAGGGGCTGGAGAGATGGCTCAGAGGTTAAGGGCACTGACTGCTCTTCCAGAGGTCCTGAGTTCAATTCCCAGCAACCACATGGTGGCTCACAGCCATCTACAATTCAATCTGGTGCCCTCTTCTGGCACGGAGGCAGAACACTGTATATGTGATAAATAAATAAAATCTTAAAAAAAAAAAAGCTAAGTTAGGGGTGGTGAAGATGGCTGGGTTGGGAAAGTGACAGCTCTCCACTCGGGAGGACCCAGCTCTGTCCCTGGAATCCAAGCCAAGGAAGCCAGGGGTGCGGTGCTGGAGAGACCGCTCAGAGGATTCCTCCCTGCACACTCCTCCAAACACCTCTTACTGCTCTTGGGAGGTGGAGGCAGGAGGATCAAGAGTTCAAGACTGACCTGGGGCAACATAGGAAGTTCATGGCTGGGCTATCTAAGACAGCTCCAGGAAAACAAAAAGCCGGGAGCGAGCGACGGCACTGGAGGCGAGGGTTGGGAGGAGGATCCCTGGGGCTGCGTGGTCAGCCAGCCTCGCCAAGCACTGGGCTTCATGCCAGCGAGAAACCTTGCCTCAAAGGCTGGACGAGATCTAAGGAATACCATGTTTGACCTCTGGCTACACATGTATATCTGCACTACCATGGCGCTCACACACACGCACGCTCGAGCACACACACACACACACACACACACACACACACACACACACACACACGGGAAGGGGGGAGAGAGCCAACCCTATATATACTTTTTTTTTTTTTTACGAGACAGGGTTTCTCTGTATTGTTTTGGCAACCCTATATACTTTATTCACAGGACCTAAATGTACGTTTGCAGGACGTGTCTCATCCAAATTTCCAAGCAAGCCCTGGGACAGGAACAGAGTGGTGACTCACGGGCTGCTCTTCACTCATGCTTAGGAAATATTGCTGGGGGCTGGAGATGGCTCGGTGGTTAAGGAGCACTGGCTGCTCTTTCAGAGGACCCGAGTTTGACTCTCTCTCCTCTCTCTCTCTCTCTCTCTCTCTCTCTCTCTCTCTCTCTCTCTCTCTCTCTCTCTCTCTCTCTCTCTCTCTACTTTTTTTTTTTTTGGTTTTTCGAGACAGGGTTTCTCTGTAGCTTTGGAGGCTGTCCTGGAACTCTCACTCTGCAGAGCAGGCTGGCCTCGAACTCACAGAGATCCACCTGCCTCTGCCTCTGCCTCCCGAGTGTTGGGATTAAAGATGTGCACCATCACAGACAGCCCTGCCTGAGTTTGTGTCGAAGCACCTACATTGAATGGCCTGTAACTCCTGAGATAGGGAAATTTGATAATCTGATGCCCTCTTCTGGCCACCCTGGGTAACTGCGTTAACCATATACACACCCAGGGCTTGGGATGTGGCTTCCGTGGTAGACTAGCAAACAGGGAACCCAGCGTTCCAGCCCCAACTCCCAGCAAACTGTCTTGGTGTTGCAATGCCAGCATTCAGGAGGGAGAGGCAGGGAGATCACGAGCTCAAGGTCTTCCTTGGCTACATAGGGAATTAGAGGCTGCCATGAGATACAGTGTATGTGAGACTGTCTGAAAAAGAGGACAAGGAGGAGGAGAAGGAGGAGGGGGGGAGGAAGGGGGAGGAGGAGGAGGAGGAGGAGGGAAAGAAGAAATGCAAAACAGCAGCCCCTACAGTCAGTACTTTCTTGGAGCCTGGGTTGCCACTGCTACCTTGCAGCTGATGGTAGCGCCCTCTCCTGGTTCCAGCTCTGGACAGGATCCAGGAGCACTGGGCCAGCCTGGGTAACTCAGAGATGCGGTTTACCTGTCACCTGCTCACAATGGCACCAAAAGTTGAGTCAGCTTCCTTCTTGGACATTGCACTCAAGGCAGCCAGGAAGCCCCTGCGAACGAGTGAGAGCGTGTGCCCTCCCGGCTCTTAGCTCTGCCTGGGAGACGGCACAGCTGAGGTGAATAGAGGGAAAAGGAGTCTCCCGGCATGCAGCCCTTCCCTAAGCGCTTCCAAGCCTCTATAGCCCTCCTTTTGATTTTCCCCCATTGAGACGGGCCTCCCTCTGTAGCCCAGGCTGGCTTTGAATTCACGACCCCGCCTACTCAATGCTAGGACTGTAGGAATGCATCAGTTTGCTTCAGTACCCCAGGCTGCCCTCAGTCTAGCTACTAAGTTATGAGGACCTTGAATTTCTAACCCTCCTGTCTCCCTCCTCACTGCTGGGTTCCAGGACACAAGCTTGCCTGGTGTGTGTGGTGCTCAAAACCAGACCCAGGGTTCTGAGCACCCCAGGCAAGTGCTCTTCAACCCAACTATTCTACGCCTCCGTCTTTTTTTTTTTTTTTTTTTTTTTTTTGAGGAAGAGAAAGCATGTAGCCCAGGCTGGCCTGGTTTCATTATCTTCCTCCCTTAGCCTGCTGAATGGCGGGATTGCAGCCTGCAATACCACACCCAGCTGAAGTTCCTTTTCAAAGTTTTATTACCAGCAAACCTGGCTGTATTCCCTGTCAACCTTACTCATGAATGTTTGCAAGACTGGGGTCTTTTATTGCATTCTGCAAGTCATTTTTTGTCAGTTTAGCTCAAATGGCTGCTCTGGAGGGGTTGGATGGCAGATAGTGACCTGTTCCCGTGACATCTCACTGCACGACTACCTCATCCTCTGCCTTGTCCTCTTCGGTGGCTTTTGTGTTAGAGCTGCGGAGCTTCAGCTGCAGAGATGGCTCAGTGGTTACCAGCACTCGCCGCAACTACAGAGGACTCTGGTTCCCAGCATCCACTTGGCAGCCCACAACCATCTTGCTAACTCCAGTTCCAGAGGATCTGAAGCCTTCTTCTGACTTACACAGGCACCTGGCACACGTGTGGTATACAGACATACATGCAGAGAAAGCACTATACATATAAAATAAGGTTTAAATCCTGAAAAACAATTGCAGCGCTGACTGGATGCAAGGGAGCCTATACAGGCCCCAAATGCCTAAAGTAGTCAGCACCTGACCCCAAACTTTCTGCTCCCCTCTTACGTACTGTGAATCCAATTTGCTAAGTGAGCCGAGTGTGGTGGTGTATGTCGGCGTGGGGCAGGGCTCTGCAAGTTCAAGGCCAGCCTACTCCATAAAGTGAGGTTCAGGACAGCCAGGGTTATGTAGAGAGACTCTCTCAAAAACAAATAACAAACTTGTTAAACGTTATCAGCTTGGGGCTAAGGCCCTTGGCGCTCACACAGCTGTTAGCTCAAAATGCCTTGGACAAGGCCGACCTATCTCCCATTTAGTTGAAGATGAATGAGCTACTACTTGAAAAGTCAACAACCCTTTGTTTCTAGAAATGCAGATGACATCAGCGACAGAACTTGTACAGGGACCCGGACGCTCACAAAACAGTAACCCAGCGAGACGGTGACAACACCCAAGAGGGTGGTGAAGAGTTCCACGATGGGGCCTTTTGCTCTGGTCTTCTTGTCACAACGGCAGCGCCGTGCAGTCACCCGTGGTTGCAGAATGCATTCTAAGTCACAGTGTCATTGTCCTAGAAGAAGCTATTTCAGGCTAAGTAAGGGGCTATACCACTGAGCCACACCTACCCCCCTCAATGGGGAAGTCTAGCCAGGGCTCTATCACTGAGCCACACCCCCCTAACCCCTCCCTGGGGGATTCTAGGGAGAGGCTCTGCCACTGAGCCACACCACCGTTCCCCTCTTGGTGTTTCCTAATTGCCCTTCATTCGGTCTACAGAAACTTCTCATCCTGTCCCTTTTGCCAGCACTAGATGTGTTCAGCCCAATCCCAAAAGTCTAACCATGCAGCTAATGAGACAGTTTTGCTTTCTTTCACAAGGGTTCAGGTTGGATTTGAACTCTTGATCTTCCTGCTTCCAACTCCCAAGTGCTGGGATTATAGAAGCACACCACAACTATGTCCAGCTCACATAAAAATTATATTAAAGAATGGCAATGTTGTGAGTTCGAGGCTGGGCTGGACCGACAGCCTCTAAAACAATACAGAGAAACCCTGTCTCATAAAAGCCAAAAAAAAAAAAAAAGGGCAATGTTTGAAGACAATCGGCTGGGGCAGAAAACACAAAATTTTGGATGACTGACGGGTCAATGCAGATGCTGGAGCTTTGAGTAACAGATCTGATGGGAGGACTGAGTTAGGTTTTCACTTGTGCAGACCAGGGTACTCTGTATGCTGCGAAAGACCAGTCTTGGGCTGCTCCGCTCCCCCAGGAACCCTGTTCAGGGCTCTTTAGGCCCCAGACTTATCTTTCTTCCTTTGTGTTTCAAACTCTGTAACATCCGACTGCCAGCTGTTAGGGCTAGTTGGATCTTTGGCGCCACCATCAGTTCAAACTGAATTTTGCTTCGCTGGGGAACTAATTCACCGGGAAATCCTAGGAAAACCTACCACAGCCTGTCTATGGACGGCTGTAAAGACACTCACATCCCTCTGTGGTGCCCGCACCACAAGCAAGTCCAGGGTATCAGGAAAAGAAAGGCCAGACGTCCAGCTGTTTGTACTAAGAGAATGCATGTGTTGCCTTTATTGCCAGGAGTGTGTGTGTGTGTGTGTGTGTCTTCATTGCAAGTGCTAAGAGGTCTGGGTTGGGGCCCAACATCCCTCTATAGAGAAGTTTGAATTTTTATTAAAAAAACAAACAGAAAAGACAGCACACAAATGTATAAGGCGAACACTAACAGCCACCACCCAGGTTAAGAAAAAAACTTTACCAGGGGACTGGAGAGATGGCTCAGTGGTTAAGAGCACTGGCTGCTCTTCCAAAAGGACCCGGGTTCAATTCCCATTACCCATATGACAGCTAACAAATGTCTACAACTCCAAAATCCAACACCATTAAACAGGCAAAATCTCAAAATAAAAAGTAGTAACAATAAAATAATTAAAAAAAAAAAAAGAACTTTACCACATCCCCTGACAGAGCACCGACTCCTTTCCCCACACTGCTCAGGTTAGATGAAGTTGCCAATTTAATAGCTCCACCAGAGACCCGTCAGTTTTCAAATCACCATCCATGCGAGGCAACTCTCCCCAAGGGCACAGAGGAGAGCTTAGGGTCCCCTGCCTTTGAGTGACCCAAATGCTTACAGGGGAGGCAGCTGGGCTGTGGGCAATCGTCTCCGTGGCCTCGCTCTGCCCTCCTGGGTCAGCTGGAGGCTGGGGAGGTCGGGGCTGCCAGCTTTGGAAAGAGAAGGCAAGGTCCTCCTGATGGTGTCACCACGAGGGGCCGGTACCAGCTTTGTTCAGGTTCCTGAGAGCGCTCATGCTGCCCTAGAGGTCACAGCTGGGCTCCAGGGTGCCGAGCTGCCCCGAAGCAACACTTTCCGAGGGGAAAGTGACCAGGCTCGAGCTCTTACTCTCACCCCAGTCACTGTGCTGCTTCCGATGGCACCTCAGAGAGTCGTCCCTGACAAAGGAGGCACCACACTTGTCACACTGGAAGGCCCGCTGGGTGGCAGTCTTGGGCCCGTGGTGGGGGCCACTCTCTGTGTGAGCATCCTTGCCCTGTGGGACCCTGCTCCCTGTCTTGGCCCCTTCCCTGTGCACTCTGTCCATGTGTTTGGCCAGGCTGCTGGGCCGCTTCGTGTCAAAGCTGCAGAAGTCACATTTGAAGGGCCGGTCCTTGCAGTGAACCCTGCTGTGCACCCGCAGGGCAGCCGGGCTGGAGCAAGAGTAGTTGCACTCGGGACATTTCTCAGGATGGTCAGCCTGATGTAGGCGACTGTGCTCCAGCAGGTCGGCCCGGTCTCGGCCCTGGAAGGCACAGTGCAGACACTTGAAGGTGTGCTTGATGCGGACGTGCGACTTGAGGTTCGCCTTCATGGTGCAGCGGACGTCGCAGAACTCGCACTTGAAGGGCTTCTCCCCCGAGTGCACGATCATGTGCCGCTTCAAGTCCGAGCTGATTTTGAACTTGGCGCTGCAGAGCCAGCACTGGAAAGGGGTGTCCCCTAGCAACGGAAGGTGTGATTGCATTAGCGTGGGCAGGCAACAGAATTCTCACCTAGACACGCATCATATACCTGGGCAGGAGACAGCTGGGTCTTTTGAACGGAGGCTTGCAACTTCCCGACAATGACAACACTTACTGTGTACAATAACTCAGTACTGTTAGCCTATTTTATAGATGAGGCAGCTGGTGCTCAGAGGACTCAAGTGGCAGGGGCCCCGCCAAGTCCACGCTCAATTACACTTGGGTTCTAGGAATGCAGGATATGTTGCAAATGAGTTCTCTAAATAAGATTTACACACACCGGACTGGCAAGACAGCTCAGTGGTTAAGAGCACAGGCTGGTCCTGCAGAGGACCGTGCTCAGTTCCCAGCACCCACATGGCAACTCACAACCACCTGTAACTCCAGTTGCAGAGACTCTGACACCCTCTTCTGGCCTCTCCGTGTACTGCACACATGTGGTACACATACATACATGTAGGCAAAAATACCCATACACATAAAATTAAAAAAAATTTTTTTGAGATAGGGTTTTTCTGTGTAATAGCCCTAGCTGTCCTGGAATTTTCTTTGTAGACCAGGATGGCCTCAAACTCACAGAGATCTACTTGCTTCTGCCTCCTGAATACTGAGATTAAAGGTGTGTGCCACCACGCATGACATGTTTGCATTCTTAGCAGGCATGGTGGCACATGACTGTAATCCCAGCACTCAGGAGGTTGATGCCGGAGGATCACTGTAAGTTTGAGGCAGCTCAGGCCTCAAAGTGAGATCTTATCTCAGAAAGCCAAAATAATGATTAAAGAAAACAAACAAACAAAAACCAAAAACCAAAACCGAAACCAAAAAACCAGTCTCAGTGAGTCCATACATGTGTCAGCCTGTTTTCTTAGCCATCCTGACTTAGAGGTCCTCACTCCCCAGCAGCTCTACCTGAAATTCATGCCTCTTTGCTTTTATTATCTCCTCATGGACTTTACCTGCATTTCTGATGGCAGTAGACATCAATTCAGCAAAGTTCTTTTCTAATCTCCCAAATACCCTCTGGCCTGACACATTTCATGGCACTAAATGAAGTAGTCATAATCATTGGCTGGCTGTAGGAGGAAACTGCCTTAAGCAGGAGATACATGGATGCCATGGCTTCACCTGCAACCAAGGAGGCTGAGCAGTGTTGCCATTGAGCATTGGCTTCTCCCCTGAGCTTATTGTTGTGGCCTTGGATGTCTTCACTCCAGTTCCAAGTCCAGAGTTCTCAGGTCATTGAGATGTCTGCTGGGAAGGCTGGCGCCCAGCACCACGCCTGGCTCAATCTGTCCGCTGGAATATAGCTCTCTTTACTCAATTAAAGTCTTGAGACTTTGAATAGACTACTGTTCCTCGCACACCGGATAGTTGTGCTGGCTATGGAATTAGACTTTTAAAGTCAATTACTTTGTGACACAGGGTGTGGTGGTTTGAAAGAAAATAACCCCCATAGGAAATGACACTATTAGAAGGTGTGGCTTTGTTGGAGTAGGTGTGGTCTTGCTGGAGAAAGTGTGTCATCGTGGGGGTGAGCTTTGAGGTCGCCTATACTCAAGCTACGCCCAGTAGCACGGTCACTTCCTGTTGTCTGTGGATTAAGATGTAGGACTCTCAGCTCCTTCTCCAGCACCGTGTCTGCCCGCATGCCACCATGTCCTTCCATGATGACAATGGACTAAACCTCTGAAACTGCAAGCCACCTAATTAAATGCTTTCCTTTATAGGAGTTACTATGGTCTGAGTGACCCCAAAAGTTCTACCAGAGAACTGTGACAACTGATAAACACCTTCAGTAATGCAGTAGGATACAAGATTAGTTCAAAAAAAAAATCAGTAGCCCTGCTCTATACCTATTATAAATGGGCTGAGGAAGAAATCAGAGAAACATCACCCTTTACAATAACCACAAGTAACATAAAATACCTTGAGGTAACTCTAACCAAACAAGTGAAAGACCTGTGTGACAAGAACTTTAAGTCTTTGAAGAAGGAAATTGAAGAAGACACCAGAAAATGGAAAGATCTCCCACGCTTCTAGATAGGTAGAATTAACATAGAAAAGATGGCAATCCTACCAAAAGGATGTACAGATTCGATGCAATAGCCAATCAAAATCCCAGCAAAACTTTTCACAGACCTCGAAAGGAAAATACTCAACTTCATATGGAAAAACAAAAAAACACAGGGAAGCCAAAACAATCCTGTACAATAAAGGAACTTCTGGAGGCATCACAATTCCTGACTTCAAGTTCTACTGTAGAGCTACAGTAATAAAAACAGCTTGGTAGGGGCTGGAGAAATGGCTCAGAGGTTAAGAGCACTGACTGCTCTTCCACAGGTCCTGAGTTCAATTCCCAGCAACCACATGGTGGCTCACAACCATCTACAATTCAAACTGGTGTATATGTAATAAATAAATAAATCTTTAAAAAAAGAATTCACAGCGTTTCATGCTGTCCACCTTTGTGTCAGTACTGCTGTGTGTAAAAAAAAAAAACAAAAAAACAAAAAAACAGCTTGGTAGCTGGGCAGTGGTGGTGCAGGTCTTTAATCCCAGCACTCGGGAGGCAGAGGCAGTGTATCTCTGTGAGTTTGAGACCAGCCTGGTCTACAGAGCAAGTTCCAGGACAGGCTCCAAAGTTACAGATAAACCCTGTCTTGAAAAAGCAAATAAACAAAAAAGCAAAACAATACCACCACCCAAAACCCCAGCTTGGTATTGGCATAAAAACAGACAGGTGGTGGCATAAAAACAGACAGGTGGACCAATGAAATCAAACTGAAGACCCTGATACCAATCCACGCACCTATGAACACCTGAATTTTTACAAGGAAACTAAAATTATAAAATGGATAAAAGAAAGCATCTTCAACAAATGGTGCTGGTATAACTGGATTTTGACATGTAAAAGAATGCAAATAGATTCATGTCTATCCCCATGCACAAAACTCAAGTCCAAGTGGATCAAAGACCTCAATATAAATCCATCCACACTGAACCTCATAGAAGAGAAAGTGGGAAGCAGCCTTGAATGGGAGACCACTTCCTAAATATAACACCAGTAGCACAGACTCTGAGGGCAACAATGAATAAACGGGACCTCCTAAACTGAGAGGCCAATGTAGAGCAAAGGACGTGGTCGCCATGACAAAATGGCAGCCTACAGAATGGGAAAATGTAACACAAATTAATAAATGACCCAGAGACAGACATTGGGGTTCAAGTTGAAGATCAGGGAAGCAAAGCAGCCAAGCTACCAAAGAGCCCTTACCTCTAACAGGGATGGGGCATTCCTATTCTCAACGTGGCTGGAGAATGGATGCCTGATATTGAGTCTTTCTATCTTCAGTGTGGCTGGAGATGAATACTGGATACTGAGACCCTGCTCCTGTCTTATATACCCACCCCCATGCTGGGATTAAAGGCGTATAATCCCAGGTGCTGAGATCTTTATGTGAGCTGCTTCTCTTTAGGACTGGATCAATCTTGTGTAGATCTGGGTGGCCTTAGACTCACAGAGGTCCATCTACTTCTTAATCCTCAGTCCTGGGACCAAAGGTATGTACTGGATTAAAGGTGTGTACCTGGGGGCTGGTGAGATGGCTCAGAGGTTAAGAGCACTGTCTGTTCTTTCAGAGGTCCTGAGTTCAATTCCCAGCAACCACATGGTGGCTCACAACCATCTGTAATGAGATCTGGTGCCCTCTTCTGTCATGTAGGCAGGCATGCAAGCAGAACACTGTGTACACAATAAATAAATCTTTAAAAAAAAAAAGGTGTGTACCTGGCTACTATGGCTTGTGACTGACTTTGCTTTCTGAATCATAAATAATATATCACTATGAGAAAAGACCTTCACCATCTGACAGATGATACAAAATATACAAAGAACTCAAGAAACTAGACATCAAAAGACCAAATAATCTAATAAAAAATGGGGTACAGATCTAAAAAGAGAATTCTCAACAGAGGAATATCAAATGACCAAAAGACACTTAAGGAAATGCTTAACACCCTCAGTCATCAGAGAAACGCAAATCAAAACAACTCTGAGATACCATCTCACACCTGTCAGAATGGCCAAGATCAAAAACACCTATTTCGCCGGGCGTTGGTGGCGCACGCCTTTAATCCCAGCAATCGGGAGGCAGAGGCAGGCGGATCTCTGTGAGTTCGAGGCCAGCCTGGTCTACAAAGTGAGTTCCAGGACAGCCTCCAAAGCTACAGAGAAACCCTGTCTCGAAAAACAAACAAACAAACAAAAAAAACAACAACAACAACAAAAAAAAAACAAAACACCTATTACAGTTTATGCTGGAAAGGGTGTGGAGTAAGGGGAACACTTTTCCATTGCTGGTGGGAGTGCAAACTTGTACAGTCTTTTGGAAATCAGTATGGTGGTTTCTCAGAAAATTGGGAATCAATCTACCTCAAGACCCAGCAATACCACTTTTGGGCATATATCCGAAGGATACACATTCATGCCACAAAGACATTTGCTCAACCATGTTCATAGCAGTATTATTCATAATAGCCAACCAAAAAAATAGGAAAGAAAAATGTAGTGTATTTACACAATGGAGTACTACTTAGCGGTAAAAAACAATGACATCTTGAAATTTGCAGGCAGATGGACAGAACTAGAAAAAGCCATCCTAAGTGAGGTAACCCAGACCCAGAAAGACAAATATGTACTCACTATTAAGTGCATGTTAGACACAGAACAAACAACAAACAGACCACAGGCCACAGCCCCAGAGAACTTAGGTAACAAAGAGGACCCTAAGAGAGACATACATGGACCCACCTAGGAAGGGGAAAAGACAAGATCTTCTGAGTAAATTGGGAGTGTGGGGGCCAGGGGGAGGATGGAAATGGAGAAGGGAGGAGGGAAGAGGAGTGGGGGAAATGTATAGCTCAATTAAAACAAAGAGAAAGGAAGAAAGTCACTGTGGTCCTGGTATCTCTTCACAGCAACTGAAACCCTAACTAAGACGCAGGGTCTCGTGTATTGCAGTCTGGCCTTGCTTTTCAGCTCTAATCTCCAGAGTCGCTTTCATCTCCCAGGTGCTGAACAACAGGTGTGCGCCACCATGCCTGGTTTCTGTGGTGCTGGGGATGAAACCCAGGGCTTCCTGCACGCCAGGCAACTGCTACATTCCCCAGACTTTCCTTGTTGTTTCTTTAGAGAGAAGGGTTTCTCTGTGTAGCCCTGGCTGTCCTGGAACTCGCTCTGTAGCCCAGGCTGGCCTGGAACTCACAGAGATCCACCTGCCTCTGCCTCCTGAGTGCTGGGAGTAAACACATGTGCCCGCCACTGCCCAGCTGAACTCAGCTGTAAATGCCAACACATTTCCATTGCCCCGCCATCTTCTAAGAGTTTACTGAAATGCTTCTATCTACTGCGGATGCCTCAGCCACCCCCCCCCCACCTACTTGTGTGTGTATGGGTGTGCACTATAATGGGCTGGTTATCTAGCTAACATTAGTCCTGTGGAGTCCTACCAAGAAGGAAAAGGAAACCTTCCAGAACAAGACGTGCGTGGGTACCACATTCCTAAACACATCTTGTTGGCCGGCCATTTTTATTTGAGATGCAACCTCAGACACGTGGCTGCCGTGGTGGGTACCCATTCCCACGTGCATTTTAGCCATCACGCTGTTGTATCAAAACCTGTTCCTTTGGCAGTTCTGAAGATCTGAACAGGCTGCATCAAGTCAGACTCAACTTCCTGTGTTTCTACTGGCAACTCATCTCGGTGGCTTGTGTCTTCAGGAAGTGCGGGTGAAGAAACGGAGAAAGCAAAGCAGGGGGCTCCTGGGGGAGGGGCTAACCTGTGTGCGGGGGAGGGGCTTACCCGTGTGCGAGCGCAGGTGCACGGTGAGCTGGCTGGAGTTGCGGCTGGCGTAGGGGCAGAGCTGGCACTTGTACGGCCGCTCGTCCGAGTGGATGCGCAGGTGCTTCTTGAGGCTGCTGCTGTCCACAGCTGCATAGTCGCACAGGTGGCACTTGTGTGGCTTGACGCTCGTGTGGCAGCGCATGTGCATGGTCAGGTTGTCCTTCCGGCTGAAGCACTTATCACAGAACTCACACTTGTGCGGCTTGTCGCCTTCAAACACATAAGCAGTCAAGGTTGTAGGGCTTCTTGGTCAGGGTTAGGTCTTGTTACTATGATAAGATACCCGTGCCATCAGCTTGGGGGCGACTGCCTGTACTTGCTAAGCAACCCCCACCCCCGCCGCCGCAGGATGTCACAGAGGCCAGGCTATCCTCAAATTCTCATTGTAGCTGAGGCCTCGAACTCCCCATTCTCCTACTTCAGTCTCCTGAGTGCTAGGCTACGGGTGTCCACCACCATGCCCTGTCCCCTCTTACTTTGTCAGTTAAGAGACGCAAAGAGCTAAACCAGATGCTGTGAACTCGACGGAGTATCCCACGTCTCCATTACCTCAAGGATCAGGCCTTCCCCAGTTTCCCTAACCCCAGCACGCTTATATGAAGTAGTTAAACACCACCAGAGTGTCCTCTTCTCTGCTGTCACCCTCGGTGCTATGAGCAAGCACCCCAGGACAATCGATTTGGGGTGTCGTTTTCCTCTGCCCACTAGATGGCAGCAGTGCAACCCCAGCTCATCATGAGTGCTCAAGCTAGCCTCAGGATGCTTCCTGATCGGCTCCTGTGCTGGTAGAGCCTCCTGGTCCCCAGCTTTGGGGATGCCTGGTGGCCTCATTTACTGAGGTGAGGCACGGAAGCTGACCCTCCCTTCATTCCCGGCAGCCTAAAGCTCCCAGTCCATGGGCAGCAGAAATCAACAGAAGTCCAGAAGGTTCTGTGATCTCAATGCTGCAGCTGCCATCCCCAGAGCCAGGCCTTGTCCCTCTGGATGCCAGGGCAATGCCATTAAATCTCCACTCATTTCATTAGATCAGAAGGGTTCGGTTCCTGGGCTATGGGCAGAGGGAGGGGTGCTGCTGTAGGTATCTCCAGTCTCAATTTTGTTTCCCATCGTAGGGATTCACAAATTGAGAGCTTGGTTCTGGAGGTGGCAGAGCCTCTTTTGCTATTCTATGGATCCATCCTTCACCTGAATTCCCCAGAGGGCGAGCATTGTTTAGGCTCTAGTCCTGAGTTTTGTCTCTCAGTGAATAGAACCGTCCTCATGAATGGGGCCCCACGACCTCTGCAGCCTCCGTCAATAGAACCCATCCTTATGTTTATTACAAATCGCTCCTCCCTGCTGATCCGGGTTTGTCAGTCAGTAGAGCTCATTCTCATGGCCCAACCACAGGTGCTTTGCCATACAGGTGTATTTTGCAAGGGGGTTCCCAGGGAGGCATCCTCGGAAGATTTGTTGTAACAATTGTCACTTGGAGACTTTCCCCCGAAGTTTAAATGTATAAGAAAAATAAACTGGGTTGGAGAGATAGCTCAGCACTTAAGAGCACCGGCTGCTAGAGGGCCTGGGTTCAATTCCCAGCACCCACTTGGCAGCTAACAGCTGTCTGTAACTCCAAGATCTGACACCCTCACAGACATGCCCGCAGGCAAAGCACCAATGCACAGAAAATAAAAATTACAAACTACGCTTGGACATGCTAACAAGTCAGACAGTAACTCATGTCTGCCCTCTGCATGTGGCAGAGTCGTCCTGAAGCAGCAGCTGCGCTGCATCCCAAGCTCCGTGAGGGTCATCCTCACACCCCTCCCTTCTTGTTCCAAGCCCACTTCCTAAGCTAGACACCACCAGCCAGAGGCCCACCCATAGTTCACTCCTGGGTCCCCGACACTGAACTCAATCCGCTTCCTTGTATTTTCCTCAACTGCTAACTGAATGGATACGCACCCGTGTGGATTCTCACATGGCGGTCCAAGTCTTTCATGCCATGAACCGTCTTGAAACGACAACCTAGAAGAGAGGCAAAGCTGGCTCTCAATGCTCAGTCTCCGGGATCACCACAGTTTGACTCTGACCCCACCCACGGCATCATGTCCTGCTTTGAGTGCAGCTGCCAACAACTGACAGCACCTGCCCAACACTTTGTCACAAAACTCTGCCCAACACTTTGTCACAAAACTCTGCCCAACACTTTGTCACAAAACTCTGTTAGGTGGCTGTGCTCAGCCTTAGTCTGGGGCTGTGTCCTGCATGAGGCTTAAAGAAAAGCTTGCACACGTGGAGGGCCAAGGGTATGACCTGCATTTTCATTTTGATTCTGTCTGGCAGTGCTGGGGGTGGAACTCAGAACCTTTGGCATCCTAGGTAAGTGCTATGCCACTGTGCACATCCTTAGCCCTCATGGCTCTCTCTCTCTCTCTGTCTCTCTGTCTCTCTCCCTCTCTTTCCCTCCCTCCCTCCCTCCCTCCCTCCCTCTCTCTCTCTCTCTCTCTCTCTCTCTCTCTGTATCTGGCTGAACTGAACTCACTACACACACCAGACTGTTTTCAAATTTGCAGGAATCCTCCTGCCTCTGCCTCCTGAGTGCTGAGATTCCCACATCTATTCCTCCTGCATTAAAAAAATATATTTTTATCTTATGTGCTTTGGTTCCTTCCTTCCCTCCTTCCCTCCCTTCCTTCCATATGCATGCATGTCTGTGTGAGGATGCAGGGTGTTAGTATTCAGGCATCTGTACTGGCCTGTCCTTGGGGTTGGACAGGACACGCCCTCAGCTGCAGCCACCAAGAGCACCACCTGTGCATATTCACTGTGTTCCCTTCCCCCCTCTTTCTCCCTCTCCTGCTGCTCCTGTCCCTGGAGGCCAGTCTTCCCTTTCCCCATTTTATGACCCCTTTCCCTAATTAAAAAAAAAAAAACCTCTGTTTGAACCACGTAGCATGGAGTCTTTCTCTCTTATGCTGCTTTTCTTAAATTATAATACTGGGTCCCCTGGAAGTGGAGTTATAGACAGTGCGAGCTGCCATATGGGTGCTGGGAATTGAACCCGGGTCCTCTGGAAGAATAGTTGGTATTCTTAACCACTGAGCCATTTCTCCAGCCCCACTCCTGCATTTCTGACTTGATGATGTTTCAACTTAAAACAGGTTCATTGAGACTCGATCCTCATTTAAGAAGCATCTGTGAACTCAGTTACAGTCTCTGGACAGGCTTTGCCACTGCAGCTGCAGGACCCACAGGACCCTGAAGAAAAGTGCCAATTCTGTGAGTGACCTTGGAGAATAATTCTAATAAGGTGCCGAAGCTCTCTGCAGCAGGGCTGGGCAGGGAAGGGGCTACCACCAGGTCCGACCCTTTACCTGGAAAGCAGCAGTTAAAGGTTCTTTCTCCGAGGGTGGCCATTTGTTCCTTTGTTTCCGAGGGTACAGGGACAGCAGGGGCCTGCTGGGTGTCACTGTCTTCAGCAGAGAGGTCTGATGGTTTTGGAACTCTGTCATCTAGCAGTGCAGAGGCTGAAATGGAGACAGGAAGTTTGGCGACAGCTGTGATGGTCAGTCTGAGAAGAGGGTAGCTTTGGGCTGTTTTCAGCTTTCACCAGTTTCCCCCAAAATGCTTTACAAAACAAAAACTGGGGCTGGAGGAATGGCTCAGTGATCTTGCAGAGGACCTGAGCTGGGCTCCCAGCACCCAGGTCTGGCTGCTTATAGCTGCCTGTCCCGCTTGAAGGGTCCAACAAAGTCTCTGGCCTCCACAGACACCTGCACACCCATGCTCATGCACAGACACATAGCTACCTACACACACACATGTAAAAATTAGATGAGTCTTTAAAAGCTAGAGCTGGGCCTGGGACTCAGTTGGTAGAGGTCTTGCCTAGCATTCAGGAAGCTATGGGGTCAGTCCCCAGTACTGCACACAGCAGGCCTGGAGGCAGATGTATTTAATCCCAGCACTTGGGAGGCAGAGGCAGGTGGATCTCTGTGAGTTCAAGACCAGCCTGGTCTACAAGAGCTAGTTCCAGGACAGCCTCCAAAGGCACAGAGAAATCCTGTCTTGGAAAAAAAAAATATTAGCTTGCAAGTATGTATGTCTGAATATATGCAGTGCTAACAGAGGCCAGAAGAGGATGACAGGTTCCCTGGAACTGAACTTAAAACACACGTAAAGCAGGGCTGGAGAGATGGCTCTGTGGTTAAGAGCACTAGTCGATCTTCCAGAGGTCCTGAGTTCAATTCCTTGCAACCATCTGTAATGATGGTGCCTCTTCTGGCCTGCAGGGATATATGCAGGCAGAACACCATCTATGCAATAAACAAACAAATAAATAAATAAAACAAAACCCCCCAAAAACCACGTGTAAGCTTCCTGGTGGGCATGAGGAACCAGTGCACTAAACCACTAAGCAATCTTTCCAGTTGCTAAAGAGGTAGGTTTTTGTTGGTTTGCTTATTTGAGACAGGGTCTGACTATGTAGCTGTCTGTCTGTCTAGGAACTTCCTCGGTAGACCAGACTGGCCTCGAACTCACAGAGATCCTCCTGCCTCTGCCTACTCTAAAGATGTAGTTTTGTAAACAACTTCTTACTCACCATTGGTTATTATTTTGTAACCAATAATGTACGTGGATTATAAGGGGACCCTGGATGCCACAGAGCACCGGAGGCGCCTGCTTTATTACTACTGTTATTATTTTACATTTAGTTTTGTGTGTGTGCACATGTGCGGTTCGTGCATGAGTGCATACACCAGAAGATTAACTTGTGGGAATCACTTCTTTCCTCCCACCCTGCAGATTCTGGGGATTGAACTTGGACCATCAGACTGGGCAGCCCGTGCCTTTGTTCACAGAGCCTTCTTGAGGGCCCATGCAGCAGGTTTTTGTTTTTTGAGACAGGGTTTCTCTATGGAACTTTGAGGCCTGTCCTAGAACTCACTCTGTAGACCAGGCTGGTCTCGAACTCACGGCGATCCTCCCTATGCAGTAGTTCCGCAATGCTTAGGCTCACTTTACTGCCCAGCTACTTTGCTTCAGTTCAACTGTGGGTCACAGGCCACACCTGAGGCACTGTGCTCACCAGAGTAAAGCAATTCAACAGATTGCTCAAAATCAAGGGAGAAGGAGAAAGAAACCAGAGACGTCGCAAGCTGAGGACCTGGCACTTTGGGGGAAAGGCGAGGGGGGGTGCGCTTAGCTGGCTCCTGATTCAAATATGCCACAAAAGTCACCCGAAACGGTGACACATCCTGTGTTGACAGATGGGTTTTAGATCAGAGGCCGGGTGCACGCGTGGAAATGGAGAAGACACCTAAAACATCTTTGTGCTTTAGGGGTGATCGCTGACGTGTCTGCAAGCAGAATGATACCGTAGTTTTGGTCCAAACACGGCTAAAGGAAGAGGACAAACAAGGTTGGCCTGGAGCAGGAACCTGCAGGCGTCAGTGTGCCTGCCTGTGTGCTCAGTGTAGTTCTCTCTAATACAGTGCAGTGTGGGGCCCCAGCATGGCTTTACGTGCATGTATGTGTGCATGTGTGTGTGCGTGTGCCAGTGTGCATGTACAGTGAAGGAAGAGGTTCAGTCACTCTCCATCTTAGTTTTTAGAGACAGGGTCTCCAACTCAACTGGAGCTCACCAGTTTAGACAGACTGGCAGCCAGGGGGCCCCAGGGATCCAACAGCCTGTCTCTACCTCCCTAGCGCTGGGGTTTCAAATACACACCACTGACTGGCCTTTCCATTGGTGCTGGGGCGAGTCTGGGAAACATAGTGAGATCCTGCCTCAAAAAAGATGACATGATGCTGGGTGGTGGCACACCTTTAATCCTGGCACTGTGGAGGCTGAGGCAGGCAGAACAGAGTTAGTGCCAGGAGAGACCCCAAAGCCACACAGAGAAACCCTGTCAAACAAACAAACAAGATAATATGAAGGCTGGAGTTGTTTGGTGGAAAGAGCACTTGTTGCTCTTGAGGAGGACCGGGAGCTGATTCCCAGCACCCACATGGTGGCTGATGACCATTGACTGCCTGTAACTCCAGTCCCAGAGACTCAGTGGCCTCTTCTGACTTCTGAGGGCACCAGCCACGAAGGTGGTACACAGACAGTGCAGGCATACACTCATACACACAAAGTAAAATAAATACATCTTAAAAAGAGAAAAAGAGAACCTTTGGAGGCTTGAGGATGGCTCAGCCAGTAAAATGCTTGCCATGAAAGATGAGTTCAATCCCTAGGAACCACTTAAAGAAAAAAAAAAGTTGTAGGGGAGGGAAACACAGCTCAGCCGTTAAGAGCAGGCACTGCTCTTGCAGAGGACATGAGTTCAGTTCCCAGCACTGGGCAGTTCACAACAGCCCATGACTCCAGTTCCAGGGGACCTGATACCTCTGGTTCCACTGGCCACCTGCACTCACACACACATGCCTACATATAATTAAAGTAGGGTCTGGAGAGATGGCTCAGTGGTTAAGAGCACTGTGTTCTTCCAGAGGACCCGGGTTTGACTTTCAGCATCCATATGACATCTGTAACTCCAGTTCCAGGGGTCCAGCCTGACACCCTCTTTGGCCCATTTGGGCACTGTAGGCACAGATAGACGATATACGTGCAGAGAAAACACCCATACATGGAAAATGAATAAAATCATAAAATACAAATAATAAAGCAAATCTTGTGCACGGGCATGCACATGCTTGTATCCCTGCATTGGGGAGGCAGAGACAGCTCTCTATAACCTGTCTTTTTGCTGGGATTAAGGACATGCACCACCACTGCCCGGCCGTACAACCTGTCTTAAAACACACGTTGGATGCCTTGAGAAGGGACGGCAAAGCTAGTTTCTGGTCTCTACACACACACAGGCAGTTATCTTGTTGTCCTGAGGGTGCCTATGTCAGAAGCAAGTCAACAGCTGGACACCCTGTCACAAACGGTTGGGTGGATACTCAGGGGATAAAAGATTAAACAATACCTTTTCCATTTTAATAAGATCATGCAAATCCAGAGAGAGAGAGAGAGAGAGAGAGAGAGAGAGAACAGACAGGCGTGCAATGCAGCTGGGCCCGCCTCTAGAATTCTCCTGGGTGGGGGCCTATGGCAGAGTTGCTGATATTTTCCCATTTCTAACAAGTTCCCAGCTGCTGCTGCTGGTGGTGCTGGTTGTGGTCTGTGGATGATGCTCTGATTGTTTGTGCTTGATGGGAAATGAGGAAAGTGGCTCAGAAATGCTGAAGGTCAAAGGGTTGGAAGTTTCTAGATTATTCAAACCAACACTTTCCTATCTGCTGGCCCTGGGAAGGCGAGCAGTAAATCTTAGCTACTTAACAATTCACACAAGAAAAAAGAAAACTGCGAGCCAGGCAGTGGTGGCCACGCCTTTAATCCCAGAGCTTGGGAGGCAGAGGCAGGCAGATCTATGTGAGTGCAAGGCCAGCCTGGTCTACAGTGCCAGGAAAGGCTCCAAAGATACACAGAGAAACCCTGTCTCGACAATCCAGCCCCCCCCCAAAAAAAAGAAAGAAAGAAAGAAAGAAAACCATGAAATTCAGGAGAAATTTTAACTTCACAGTGGTCATGTTGGAATGAAAACTTAAATCTAAATGAGGTGTTGGACAATAAACAGGTAGACAGCTAGTGGGTTGCAAATTCTGGTTAAGTCTCTTTAGCTGTGTGACCTGGAGAGAGTCCTCACGCAGCCTCTGTTTCTCAGCTCCCACGTCTATAAAAAGGAAATTGTGACTTCTGTCTCTGGTTAGTTGTAGGTCAAGTTCACTGTTACATATAAAAGAACCCTGCACAAGTTGGCACATTTCCAATGTAAACATAGAAAGAGACAAAAAGGCTGGGGGCCGAGAGGCCATGCTAGGGACTGTGGGTCACCTGGGTATACTAGGTTGGTGCCCCCCAAGCCTCTGGTGTCCCCTGTGCTTAGGGGCCCCTTTGTTATTTCACTGATATAATGGGCATTTACCATTTTGAAAATGTTATTGTTTATTTACTTATTTTTTATAACTTATTTTTATTTTATGTACATTGGTATGGATGTGTCAGAGCCCCTGGAACCAGAGTTACAGTTTTAAACTACCATGTGAGTGCTAGGATTTGAACCAGGGTCTTCTGGAAGAGCAGTCTTAACCAGTGAGCCATCTCTCCAGCCCCCTTAGTTCTTTTGAGACAGGGTTTCTCTGGATAGCCTTGGCTGTCCTGGAACTCACTCTGCAGACAAGACTGACCTTGAACTCAGAGATTCACCTGTCTCTCTCTGCCTCCCTAGCGCTGTGATCAAAGGTCTGAGCCACCACTACCTGGACAGGGTTTCATTATGCAACCGTAGCTGGCCTGGAACTGTACATAGACCGGCTGGCCTCAAACCTACAGCCCTCTGCCCGCCACTGCTGAGATGCTGTATCCTTCCTGGGTGACACAGACCGATGAATCACCGGTAAAGACCCATCAGTTTTCTGAAGCGGTGGCTGGGAGGTCGGGAAGAGGGGACCTCGGTTTCCCAAGAACCCCAGA